TAATATTCAAACCGACAGCCAGCCTAAGTTTTTGACAGATGTGATAATGTGTGTGAGGGGTGAACTATGTTTGATTTTTGGGTAATAATTATGAAACGTGCTGGAGACGTTCAAAATCCTTTTTGTGTAGTTCATGCTTATTTTATGGAATGATGTTTATTTTGTGGCTTAAATTATTTTACAGAAACTGACATGTTTGGCTTGTCAGAAATGTTACATGCAGCTGTCGCAAATTTTTTTTTTTTGGACAAAGTTGTTTTTATTGTCTCTTACAACAAAAATATTGTATTTAAACCCATGAAAATGCAGTTATAAAATATAATATAGAATATAGAATAATAGTGAAAAATCACTTTTTAAAACTGTTGTTCCATATTACCCCTTAGTGTTTACTACTTATTTCCTTCCTTCCTTAAGCTGTGAAGTTTACCGTGAATGACTTAAATTAACATGTATGAATATGTGAAGATGTACCAACTTATTCTAGCAAATTAACATTTTGATTATGGATGAAATTTACATAAGTAGTATAGGAATGATACATACATCAACCAACTGCTAATGTAAGAATAAAGATGCTAAAGAGAAAGGTGTCATCGTTCCTGACAGAGACCTCTTGCACACATTCAGAAACATCAACCACAAGCAAAACCAGTAGTTGCTGATCATAGTTTATTTGTAGTTTCCGATTGCACTCATTCATTTGCATATCAACACAAGTCCATTACCAGTACATTGAGTGAAATATATTTCAATGTGAAATATAATATATAAGATAATAATATATTTAAACACAATTGTTCTAAAACAGTTTCACTATAATTCAGTTTCTGAACAAATGTAATAAATTAAGAACTGTCACAAACATGTGTACATATGTATTCGAAAACAAGTATTCGATAACATACATTTTAAAAATTAAATTTAAATACACCTATTTTACTAACCGTCACTTTAAATATTTTCAAAATACAACAGCATAATCTCTTAAATTTCAGAAGAAAATAAATGTTTTTAAAACAAGTAACTACTTGAAGATGTGTTCTCATTACGAGTTTGCTTATAGATGTTCATGATTCATGATCTGTCAGTTGATTGGGAAGATCTTCCCTCAGGAGTGAGTTTACTGATAGATGATGCTGGTGGTGGCGTGGAAGTCAGGCGTTTGTTTCTTTGAGCTCTGCTGTAAAACAAAACAACAAAAACAATGTAATACAAGAATACTACTAACTAAATATGAAACACTTTATAAGTTTATGTTGTTACAAAGTCAGGTATGTTTCACCACACTTGTTGGGTTTAACTTACAAAAACTGCTTAACTTCCTCCTTCACCCATCGTAGTCTCCAGTCAAGGCAGAACTCTCCTCGTTCAGTCTCAGCGCTGTTAAAGAGAGTGAAAAAGTTAAAACAGAAATCTAGCATCAGATGCTGTTGATCTCTAATCATGACATGTTTTCTTTAGAAAAGAACTGTGATTCTTACACGATGGCCTTCACACATGGAGGAGAACTATGATTTTGCATCCTGAAACCGATGATAGGATCAGTAAACTCTGCTCGAGTTAGGCTGGAGACGAAAGTACAGCATTGTCCCTTCATCACCTTCTCTGGAGCAACTGCTGAGACTGAAAAACAAGGTAAACCTCAATATTCTGCATCAGATATAATAATATACAAACAGATTTAAGCACTTTACCTGTTATAGTCCAGATCACAGATGCAAAAACCACAACAGCCAAACTCCTCATGAGGATCCTTTGTGTCTCCATTGTCACAGTCGATCTTCAACTCTCACTGCTTGTGTCTGAGAGAATATATTCAAGACTCTTACTAAATCGCCTTAAATAGTCAATAAAGCGGAACTTAAACTGCATGGGCTACACATCCTGTCCGTTTATTTTTGTCGATGATTTCATCACTGTTCTGTTTCATCACTATATCTGGCTTTCCTAGTAGTTCATATATGGAGTGAAGTCATTTGTCATGCTAGGTGTAAATGTAATTTGCTAAATTAATTATGTAAATGTAGATGGGGGATCTCCATTTGATGAACTTCTCAGAAGATTTCTGCTGTCAGTCATTTAATTGATATAAATTCAATGTATGCTAAAAAAAGTTCGTAATTTTTTACATTACAATAGAACAAGTCATTTTATCAATAGAGTGTTTTTTATTTAGTGAATTAAATATATTGATCTTGTAACATTGACCATTTGTCCTTTTAAATGAAGCAAAATAGGAAGAAAGCTGACGTCCTACGGTTACTTCCACTAAGAGGTTTGTTGGGGAGTTTTGCTAGTCAGTGGGATGGCAAGGGCCAAGTTTTCCATTTCACAATATTTTTAGACACAGATTCTCCATAACTGTCAAATTCTTCTGAAATGCAAGACACAGTCTTCCTTTAATGCCAGATTTAAACACATCCACTACCGAAAAGGCCATTTCCACAAATAAATATATACTAAATGAATATAATTAAATATATAATAAAATGAACTAGATATACAGAAAAAAATGGGTTATGTATATCTATTAATATGTTTCTGTATAATTGTGTTCTTATTTAAAGGTTGTTCAAAAACGAATGATCTGCACCAGGACTGGATTTACAATAGCGTTCTCTCTGTTTATTAATAGTTTGCATTTACCAATTAGGCCTATCAAATTCTCTTTTTTATCTTGCTTTCCACTGTGAAATGGGATGAGATGATTGGACACTGGGCTGAAGTTATTTATCCACTGAGTAATGTTTCCTAAATTATCATCCTTTATACACCTAGCATCATCTTTTGTGCTCATATACATTAGATTGTTTTCTTAATTGTGTCAGAATATGTAACAAGTTCAGCCAAAGTAAGGACATATACTGCAACTTAAAAAAAAACTAACCTTGTCATCACCTGTACTGTTGTCTTCATCTCTTAGCTCTGATATCATTGTCTCGTGATTAGCCCATATGGTACCATAATTCATCATTCATTGCTGTCAGTCTTGATGGCGATTTATAACCACACATACTAGCGCTTTACCACAATGAACCACTAATAAGAGAAATGTACTGTTGTATCTGTGCAGAGAACAACAGATGGAAAGATGGACACCACTAAGATGGTGCTCAGATGATCTTTCAGCTCAGATGACTTTAATATATTGCATGAGGTTTGTACAAAAGCTCATAATGTGGATCGGTTTATTTAATCAACATTAAAAAAACAAGCAGTTGTGAATTCCATCCATACTTTGTTAAAGACCCACTGAAGGGCCTGCAGCATTATTCAATGTGTTGACTCAATTTCCACTGAAACAGGAAGACAGGGCGGGACATATCGAACAGCTCCTCTCCTTTTTAAAAACAGCCAGCCGATAACCTTTAGTTTATATCACAGCTCGGCCAGAGCGGTTGAGCCTGTCTATAAAAATTGCCAAATTTTTAAATCTTATTGTGGACACTCATTTTAGGTGGCGTTTGTTCAACTCATTGACCACAGTACATTGAAAGTAAACATAACCGGAAATAAGTGAGACGTATTATTTCCAAACGGAAGTGCGTCATGAAGCTCAGTGCAAGTGGTCCTTTGAAGTCTTCTGTGATGATTTAATAGATATACAGCACTACATTTCTCTTATTTTCTCTTATTAGTGGTCCATTGTGGTAAAGCGCTATGTGTGGTTACAAATCACCATCATGACTGACAGCAATGAATGATGAGTTATGATACCCTAAGAGCTAATCACAAGAAAATAATATCAGACCTAAGAGATGAAGACAACATGATGCTAAAGTTAGATTTTTCAAGTTGCAGTATATTTCTATTATAACATTGGCTAAACTTGTTGTTACATATTCTGACACAATTAAAAAAAACAATCTAATGTGTATGAGCAGTAAGATCGATGATGCTAGGTGTATAAAGGATGATAATTTAGGAAATATTACTCAGTGGTGGATAAATAACTTCAGCCAGTGTCCAATCATCTCATCCCATTTCACAGTGGAAAGCAAGATAAAAAGAGAATTGCAAACTATTAATAAACAGAGTGAGAAAACTATTGTCAGTCCAGATCATTCGTTTTTGAACAACCTTTAAATAAGAACACAATTATACAGAAACATATAAATGGATATACACGGAACAAATATTTTGTTAGTTCATTTTATTATATATTTAATTATATTCATTTATATTTATTTGTGAAAATGGCCTTTTCGGTAGTGAATGTGTTTAAATCTGTCATTAAAGGAAGACTGTGTCTGCATTTCAGAGGAATTTGACAGTTATGGAGAATCTGTCTAAGAATATTGTGAAATGGAAAACTTGGCCCTTGCCATCCCACTGACTAGCAAAACTCCCCAACAAACCTCTTAGTGGAAGTAACAGTAGGACGTCAGCTTTCTTCCTATTTTGCTTCATTTAAATGGACAAATGGTCAATGTTACAAGATAAATTGTATTTAATAAAAAACACTCTATTGATAAAATGACTTGTTCTATTGGAATATTAAAAATGATTAACTTTTTTCAGCACACACTAAATTGATATCAATTAAATGACTGACAGCAGGGTTAGAAATTAAATATAATCTGAGAATTTCATGAAATGGAGATCCCCCATCTACATTTACATATATTAATTTAGCAGGTGACATTCACACCTACGACAATCTAATATACAAGGAAAGCCAGATATAGTGATGAAACAGAACAATGATGAAATCATCTACAAAAATAAACGAACAGGATGTGTAGCCCATGCAGTTTAAGTTCCGCTTTATTGACTATTTAAGGTGAACTAGTAAGAGTCTTGAATATATTCTCTCAGACACAAGCAGTGAGAGTTGAAGATCGACTGTGACAATGGAGACACAAAGGATCCTCATGAGGAGTTTGGCTGTCGTGTTTTTTGCATCTGTGATCTGGACTATAACAGGTAAAGTGCTTGAAACTGTTTGTATATTATTATATCTGATGCAGAATATTGAGGTTTACCTTGTTCTTCAGTCTCAGCAGATGCTCAACAGAAGAAGTTCACATGCTGTACTTTCGTCTCCAACCTAACTCGAGCAAACTTTACTGATCCTATCATCGGTTTCAGGATGCTAAAACATAGTCCTCCATGTGTGAAGGCCGTCGTGTAAGAATCACAGTTCTTTTCTAAAGAAAACATGTCATGATTAGAGATCAACAGCATCTGATGCTAGATTTCTGTTTTAACTTTTTCACTCTCTTTAACAGCGCTGAGACTGAACGAGGAGAGTTCTGCCTTGACTGGAGACTACGATGGGTGCAGGAGGAAGCTAAGCAGTTTTTGTAAGTTAAAACCAACAAGTATGATGAAACGTATCAGAATTTTAACAACATAATCTTTCAAAGTGTTGCATATTTAGTTTACAGTATTGTTTTGTTTTACAGCAGAGCTCAAAGAAACAAAAGACTGACTTCCACGCCACCACCAGCATCATCTATCAGTAAACTCACTCCTGAGGGAGGATCTTCCCAATCAACTGACAGATCATGAATGTCTAAAAGTAAACTCATAATGAGGACACATATTTAAGTAGTTATGAGTTTTAAAAAATATTATATATGTATATATTTTTTAAGTTTAAGAGATTATGCTGTTGTGCTGTTTGACAATATTTAAGTGTCAATTAGTAAATTAGGTGTATTTAAATTGAACATTTAAAATATGTTTTTAAAACACATGTCCATTGTCGTGTAATTTATACGCTATAGTGAGTTTTTACGTGCATAGGATACGCATTGGTTGGTTAGGGTAGGTTTAGGTGTGGTGTGGGGTGCGTGTATACGCTTGGGTAGAATTAGTGGCGTGGGGTGCGTGTGTATTACACGCAAATGAACTGCGTATCAAATGCATCCAAAAAACTGCCTCTCATATGCACGTAAAAACTCATTTTCACGTATAAATTACACGACAATACACCATGCGTGTTATAGAGACGCATTTACGTGAGAACAGGCTGAGTTTGACAGTGACATTTGACATTAGAATACTAAATGTATTCATTTTATTCAGAAACCGAATTATAGTGAAACTGTTTAAGAACAAACGTGGTAAAATAAGTTATTAGCTTATTATATTTCACATTAAAATATATTTCACTCAATGTACTGGTAATGGACTTGTGTCATTGACTCCTGTGTCAAGAAGTGTCACGCAAGTCTGAGTGAAATTAAGACTGATTTGTATGAGAACCAACCTGGACATTTTTATGTTGATTATGCAAATGAACGAGAGCAATCTGAAACTACAAATAAACTATGATCAGCAACAACTGGTTTTGCTTGTGTTTGATGTTTCTGAATGTGTGCAAGAGGTCTCTGTCAGGAACGATGACACCTTTCTCTTTAGCATCTTTATTCTTACATTAGTGTTACAGGTACCGGCTGGTATCATGTAAACGGCTTATATGCTCTCGCTCTGAAACAGGAGAAATAAATGAGACAGGGCAAAGTCTGCGTCCGTCTTTCATCTCGCTCAGCAGAAAGAGAGCCAAGAGGATTTATTACACAATCACAATTAAAATCCTACTTGGTTACAAACACAATGTTTTCTCATGAAATAGACAGTTTCAAAAATAAAATACAATTTGTCTTTTTTTTCTCTTTCAGCAATTACTGAGATAAATTGTGTATGATAAAATAAATCAAAATGACAAAAACCTCTGTTACCTTGTAAGTTGTCTCTTTTCAACTTAATATAAAACCTAGCTCATGTTATCACTTGCATATAATTCCTAAATGCCTTTTCAACTAGCATCATTTTTACTCTTCCACAATGCATGAGCTGACAGACTTCTAACTTGTTTTTAAACCACTTTTAGAATATAAAACGTTTAGTTTTAACACTAGCTTTTCACACATTACACAATCTCATACATTTCAAAACTATCTAACTTTACAAAAATGTTCAAAGAACTAAAAATAAAACTCCGTTCGACGTGACTTTGGTAATCACAGATGACGTCACCGGGCGCGAACATACAAACACTGCTGTAATGTTATTTACATATATGTCCACATTTTCATAACACAGCCTTGTTACACGGCCCTTAAAACATTCAGCGACATATAAACATATTAGATTTCAGTTGTTTAACTTAATTTACACATCAACCAACCTGAAACAGGAGAAATAAATGAGACAGGGCAAAGTCTGCGTCCGTCTTTCATCTCGCTCAGCAGAAAGAGAAAGATCGCAAAGCGGGACAAACTGACGTAACGCCCCGGAAACACAATAAGCGCTACACTGCCCTCTGCTGACGAACTCCAAAATGACTCCTGCCCTCTATATAGAATATATTAGTGCAACTGAAGAGTAGAAACAGGTTAATTACCCCTACACAAAATTCAAAAACATTTCCTTATAAAATTACAAAAAAAAACTACCACAAATGTGATAACAATTTACTGGGCATCACACACTCCCTGACAAAAAAAAATGGCTTCTGACATTTCCAAAAATCTTTATCTCTAAACTGTTTAACCATTTTAACTCTTACCTTTGATTCTCAAATCTCTATTCAATGAACAAGCATAGTAGGTGGAATGTATGTGGCTTGAGCTTGGTAAGGATATGGTAAGTATGGTGTCTGAGGGTAATGGAGTGGATACGAATATGGAATACAATAAGGCGGTATGTATGGAAAGAGTGAGTGTGCAGGTGTAATGTGATGAGATGCTTCTATGACAGGTACATAAGGTGCTGTGTAACCAGTCATTGAATTAACTGTGGCGTGTGCCTGAACTGATGGTTCACCTAATGACTCATATGTGAGGAAACGGCGTGGCCTTCTCTCACGAGCTGACCTTCTAATGTCTGACTGAGTGTTTTCTACGGGAGGGGTCAAAGGTCGAACTTCTGAGTCAAAGTCTTGGTGCCCATTGTTTTCTTCTTCCTCCACAGGTTCAGTGCATAAAGGTAGGTTTTCATCACCGTTGTGTCTTGTCTCAGTAGGGTTTGGTAAGTGTTCAGGTACCGCATGACTTTCTCTCCTTACAGGTGTTGGTCCTGACCCCCGAATCTCTGGATACCTGGTTAGTTGCTCCTGGTAGATAACAGGCCTTTCCTCTGTCCTTACGACTGGTCTCCTTAACCAGTATCCCGAGCCAGAATCATTGTCTGAATCATTTTCACTATCCTCACTCGTGTCTGCCTGTCTTTGAGTGTCTGTCATTCTGTCTTGGTTTTGTCTGTTATGTGTTTTCTTCTCAGGGATGGGTCTGGTGTCAGATGGAAAAACATCGACAGGTAAGTCGTTCACCAATAACAGGAGATTACGGTGCAGTGTCCTGCTCTTCTGTTTGTTTCCAGTTTCAGGGCAGACAACGTACACTGGGTTCTCGCCAAGTTGACGTTCGACTATGTATGTAGTCTTCTCCCAGTACGCCCTTAGTTTCCCTGGTCCTCCACGTTCGCTAAGGTTCCGGACCAGAACTCTGTCCCCTGGTTGCAGTACCACCCCCCTTGTCTTTTTGTCATACGTCACTTTTCCCCTGGCACTGGACTTTCTACTATTCTCGCTAGCAATGCGGTAGGCTTCTGTCATCTTTTCAGCCCATTTCTCTGCAAATCCTCTAGGTGAGTATGGTTCCCTCTCTCCATCCAATCCAAACAGCAAGTCGACCGGGAGATGTGGGTGACGGCCGTAGAGGAGGAAATACGGTGAGTAGCCAGTGGATTCATGTCTGGTGCAATTGTATGCGTGTATAACATGTGGGAGGTGGTCCTTCCACCGTAGTTTCTCACTGTCAGTCAATGTTCTTAACATCTGGAGGATGGTGCGGTTCAACCGCTCGGCTGGGTTGCCTTGTGGGTGGTAGGGTGACGTCCGCGAGTGGCCAACCCCAGCCAACCGCTGTAATGATTGGAACAGTGTGTTCTCAAATTCACGACCCTGGTCGTGATGTAATTTGGACGGATATCCAAACCGGGGTATGAAATCATTGAAGATGCGCTCAGCAGCTGTTTTCCCGCTCTTGTTCTTCGTGGGGTATGCCTGAGCAAATCTTGTGAAATGATCAATTACTACTAGGATATATTCATATCCTCCACAACTGGTTTCCAGATGCAAGTAATCAATACACACAAGCTCTAAAGGGAAATTAGATGTGATACTGCCCATAGGAGCTCGAGTGTGTGTTGTGGGTTTCTTAGATCTGATACAGGGACATTTTCGGGTGACATGGTCTTCAATTTCTTTCGCCATAAAGGGCCAGTAAAACCTTTCCCGAGCAAGATGGAGTACTCTTTCTGTGCCTACATGACCCATCTCATTGTGTAGGTACTTCAGAGCTATTGACCTGTGTTTCAGAGGGAGGACTAACTGCTTGTGCTGGGTCGTCCTTCTGTACAGGAGTCCGTCTTCAAGGTGCAACTTACTCCACTCATGCAGCAGCTTTCGGGTGGCTCCACTTACAGTTTGGCGTATGTCATCCGTCAGTTTTGTGTTTGACTCCTTTAACTCAATAACCTTGCCTATTGCTTGATCCTCTCTTTGAGCTTTAACAAGATCATCATGGCTGATAGTTGGCAGGTGACAATGAGGTTGCGGAGAAGGTTCCGGGGAACGCATGTTAAGTGCTGCAACCCAGGCCACATCCTTCCGTGCTGCTGCCTGACTCCCATCCCATGTAGCACGTACTGCCTCGTTCGAGAACTCCTCTGTACAAACCACTTCATATTTCCCCATGTCCAACGGGAGCCGAGACAGTGTGTCAGCATCTCCATTTGATTTTCCAGGCCTATACCTGATGTCGAACCGGAAGTCTGAGAGTTCTCCCACCCAGCGATGACCAACAGCGTTGAGTTTTGCTGTACTCATGATATAGGTCAGGGGGTTGTTGTCCGTGTACACAGTGAAATGGGGAGCGTAGTACAGGTAGTCCCGGAACTTTTCACACACAGCCCATTTCAGTGCGAGGAACTCCAGTTTTCCACTGTGCAGGTGATAGTTACGTTCAGCCGGTGTCAACGTTCTCGAGCCATAGCCAATGACTCTCAGCTTTCCATTCTGGCGCTGATAGAGGACAGCCCCCAGGCCCTGGTCTGAGGCGTCTGTATGCAGCGTGAAAGGTAGGTTGAAGTCAGGATAGGCTAAAACAGGTGGAGTTATAAGAAGATCTACCAGTTGTTCTAAGGCTTCCTGATGTTGAGGAGTCCAGTCAACCGGCTCTCGGGAAGGCAGCTGTTGGCGTTTGATGGTTTTCCCACGTTCTGGAATCTGGGCTTTCCCTGGCTTGATTTGGAGCAACTCATAGATTGGCTTTGCGATCCTGGAAAAATCCTGGATGTAGGAGCGATAATATCCTAAGAAACCAGTCAGTTTCCTTACCTCACCAACTGTCTGTGGTGTCTTGTTTGTCAAGGTTTTGACTGCCTCAAAGTCCCTTGGGTCTATCTTTACACCATCAGCTGACACAAGGCGCCCGACGTACCTGACTTCTTGTCTGAAC